ATATATATATATATATATATATATATATATATATATATATATATATATATATATATATATATATATATATATATATATATATATATATATATATATATATTTATAAAAGTAAAGGCACGCAGTATTGGCACTTAGTAGATTAAAATCGCATATAGGCATCTCACCTTGTCAATATATTCTTGAGAACTACCGTCAAGACAGATTCCAACAATAGGTCGGCCACTGGGTACTGTCAATTTGATACCATTAACGAGAACGGCTTTACTAGTTGTCACGTTCCGCGTTTGGACACTTGAGAGCAGGCGTGACTGCACACCATAACCAGCCTCCCGCAAAGAGGCGACGGCACTCACACAGCTCATCTTGAAATGTGCTGTGTACGAATGAAATGCACAGGAAGCACAGGAAGAAACCCCTGAAAATTGATATCTTTTTTCTTCTTTAAATATAATCCAGCAGTAATAAAAATGAAACACCTGCACCTGTGTTAAAAGGTAATCTCGACTCACTCGATAAGCTCAAATTAGAGGCCTTTTAGAAGAAAGTGAGAGAGAGCGAAAGAGAGAAGTGCACATAACAATATTTTTTAAACATCTGGAGACTACAACAAAGAGATACGAAGTTCGAAACTTCAAATTTCAAGTCATGTTATCACTCAGGCATTTTGCCGCCAAAACGAATGTATTTAGGCATAGCCTTCTCTTCTTCTTGTGGATTTAGAATTCCATGAATTTTCATCGCCCTAATAAATGAACAGAGGGCTCAAATACTTACGTCATACGTACGACCGACATATGTCATATTTAAGTATTTTTGTATTAAAAACAAAACAAAACGCATAGTGTTTTAAAAAATAATTGTATGTACACACAATTTTTTTTGGTATATTTCAAAAAGAAAAGTTGGGCTGGTTTTGAAAAAAGAAAAACAAGTTGTAAATAAAATTTTGTAAAATATTTAAAATTGAACAGAACTTCAACTTTATTTATACAGAATGTTCGTTCAATTTAGGAGGCTAAATATCAATATGTACAGAAGGCAAAATGTGTTTTGAAGTCTCCTCACGCCTATTTTAAATAATACCCTCAGTCGGTCGTCCTCTCAGAAGGCAGGGCTTTAGACTAGAGGGCTTTTTACTTTTTAGGGCTTATAGTGTCTTAGACTCTCTCTTCTCTTGTGTATTGTGTTGTCTGAGGACTCGAAGAGTCTCTTCCCTCTGGGAGCAGACTTCAATACGTGTTTTACATACAGATGGAAAATGTTTACGTAACGCTTAGTTTTCAAAACGCTTACATTCTGTTTTCAGGTATAATAAGAGTAATTTTGTTTGGACACTGTGGCGCAACTTCCGACGGTTTCTGGGGCAGTGTGGCATGCTGGGACCTGGCCCCTGGCCCTGGGTCATGGGACTCATCACTCAATACCTGGCCTCATAATAGGCTCGTAGGTGTATACTGTATGTATAAAAAAAAAAGACAATATACAAAAAACAGGTTTTGAAAAATAAAAACAAGCACTTTGTCACACAAACCAAAGTATGTAATGCGCCGTGAGGAGTATTTAAAGAATATTGAGCAGTTGAGTAATCAAGAGAAGTTGCTCATTATGAACTAATTTCTAGTTCTCTGTCTATCTGATTTATTGATATCAATTGTTTTAAAAACTTACTCCAACGCTCCTGTGGATGTGTGGACTGTGGACTGTAGTCAGTCTAGTCACTGTGCGAGGTGTGTCGTACGGTATACATAAATACATTTTTTAAATACTTAGGTGCCATCAGTCCACACTACCCAGTTCACAGTCCACAGTCCACAGTCCACAGTCCACAACGACAGAGAGAGAGTGAGAGAGGTGCACTGGGAGTTTCAGTTAGGGGGTGCTCAGATGCTCCAATATAGTATGGCTCTCCCTCTACTACAGTACTACTGTACAACTAGTAGTAGTGGTATGTAGGCCTCCAGAGTCCATGGCTCCAGGCCCCAGTGCCAGGGCCCAGGGCCCCAGGAATCCAGGACGTAAAAAGTTATAGAGAAGGCCCCCGGTAGGCCCCATACTTACGGCTATTGCTCCTAATAAGTATCTAATACGGCTTACTTGCGGCAATGCAGCAGGCCGGCTTTGCATCCAGTCAACCCCTGGAATGTTTGGGCAGCTGAATCGCTGAATCAGCCTGAAGTGCTGAACCTGAGCCCGTTTGGCTGGACCTGAGTCATATAATGATGTCATACGAGATTTAACGAGAAATGGCCCAATTGAAAAACTGATTGCAAGATCTGGCTAAATATTTGTCGATGATCCAATTGTATGTGTGGATCTTTCTGCTCATTCGTGCGTTGTATGTATGTATGGGTAAGACTGCCGATCCTCGATTTTTAATATAATTTCTAAAAAACATTTTTAAACTGACAAAAGATTAATAAAATGAGCCCACGGGTGTGGCTACTGGCTACGCGCCCTCGCGCCATATAAAATACATATCAAGATTTTGGTTTTGTTTTTGATTGTTTTTTTTTTGGTTTTTGGTTTGTTTTTGGTTTGTTTAAAAAAAAACAACACCAGAAAAACCCAAAAATAAATGAATCATTGATTGGTTTTTTTTATAAATGTTTTGTTTTAACAAAATAAATAAAGAAGAAGACAAACGACAAACAGTCTGTAAATAGGACTGCAAATAGCAGTGTAGCAGTCTCTAGCAGACCTCGCTTCTTGTGATTTAATTACTGATTTGTGCCTTTGGCATATCTCCAAAATCGGATTCACTCCTCGACTCTCGCTCACGCCAAAATATGTAAATACAGCAACTTTTTCGCTCTTTTATTAATAAAAAGCAATCGACTGGAAATTCACGGAGCACAGCAGCAGCAGCCTGCAGGACGCAGTTCCACAGTTCCCACTCCACACTCCACACTCCACAGTCCGTACAGTCTCTGGGCTCTCAGCCTCTCCAGGAATATACTTATTCTATATGTATTTATATTGAATTTCATTCAAGCCTATCAATCATTAAAACAAAATAGAGAAAAGAATCAATGATGAGATCGAAGAAATCCTCGATACGGCTGGTTATGTCGGTGGGGAATCTTACGAGAGCGAGACAGAGTTATCTGCCATGGGTCTTGATTATCGCATGTTTAGTCCTTAGTATACACCGGTATGATGCCGCCGAGTATATCTCCAATATGGCAGAAGATGTAAGCCAAATAGTGGTGAACTCAAAGAGTACAATCACTGGGTCAGTGCCCGAGGTCAAAGCACCATACGAGTCGTGCAAAAATTCTACGGATCGCACAAAGGAAAAGCAGCTCAAAATAGCGTACGTATTCTTAAGCAGTGATAACCTATCACTTTGGCCAGTGTGGGAAGAGTATTTTTCCACATGTAGTTCAGAAATGATAGACGTGATCGTGCATTCGGTCAATCCTGTGAACATGTCAAGTATGATTCCCATATTTCAGCTTCCGACAGAAAGGACATTGAACGAATCTCTAAGATTCAGTTATGATATGGTACAAGCCACACTCAATTTGTACCGAAGTGCTCTAGAACGGGCATGTGGTAAAAGGGATATAAAAAATTGCGATCCAGGCATGCTTCCGGACTTTATTCATTTGTTGAGTGACTCCTGTGCTCCTACCCGGACTTGTGCGGATGTGAATACATACCTGCAGGACAAGCAGGGCAAAAGCTTTGTTGAACGTCAACTGAGATGGTCATCCTATCACGAGGAGACCGATTCATGGGATAACTATAGAAAGAGCTCGCAATGGGTGACTTTGACGGGCAAGCATGCTCTACATATGGTGTTAAGAGAGGACAAGCTCCATAAAAAATGGTCTGGTTTCAACAAACACAACGGAAAAGCCCCTGACGAATATTTACCAGCGACCGAGTTGAGCAACTGGGGGCTAGAAACCCACCGCAAAGTGCTAACATTCAGCTGGTGGCAGGGCGAGCGGAAGGGATTCGATGAGAGTTTGAAGAAACAAGGGTTGGCTGAGCTGAATCATAAAGTCGATTATTCGCACCCAGCGACTTTCGAAACCTCGGATTACGTGAAGTTCCTTCTTGCTAATACACCCGAGTATTTATTTGTGAGAAAAGTTAGGGGTGGAGAGGCTTTACACATTTTGCTTAGTAATCTGCAACGTGGTAGGGAGTGTATTACGGCAAAATTCTGATAAAGCAATGATGAAATATAGTATAGACAACAGTGTATACCAACTAAGACGTTATAACCGTCACATAATAAACAATATAGATATTCTAACGGCGATTTTCAGCCTTTCTTAATGTGGTGTGTCGTTCTTCTAAGCGCTCGCACCCTGCGATGCCAACGATAATCTTTCTATATTCTAAGACATGTAGAATGACGTGTGCCTGCAAAGCGCGAACTCACGTATGAAGCCATTGAACTACTATTTTGTTGCATATTCGATATTCACACAAAAGCTTTCCGCATACATGCAAATTTGAATTACTTGCAAGCGAATGGGATTTTAATTACATTTTTACAATGTTACCATGGAATACGCACATAAAGGCTTTCCACTGCATGTAAGTTTGGATAGATTACAAATGAACGGGAATTTTGCTTCAGCATTTCGAGATGCTACCATATGAGATATGCACACATAAAGGTACACGCCAATCTGGATTACATGCAAGTGAATGGAATTTTATTCAGCACTTTCCATATATAATCATGGGATACTCCCACAAAAGCTTGCCACATGCAAGCAGATTTAAATAGAACACAAGTGAACAGTATTGTTTATATATTTAGCATTTTCGAGATGTTACTATGGGATACGCGCTCATAGTCTTTCTGCATGCATGCGAATTTCGATGGATTGCAAGGGAATGGGAATTTTCTTCAGCATTCACAGAAGGCTTTCCCGCTTGCATGTATATCTGGATGGACTGCAAGTGAATTGTATTTTTCTTCGATATATATATA